TTATTTTCTTTTCTTTTTTTTTTCTTTTTTTTTCATTTTTTCCAATATTGCATTTTTACAAACTTTTCTTTGTATTAAGAAAAATTTAAATTCAAATTTAATATTAAATGTATATATAAAGCTCTTAAAATAATATTGTAAAACAAAATCAAGTCAAAACGAACGTGGTAAATAATACTTAAAAAAATTATTATAAAAAAAAGAATTTAAATAGAATAATTATACAACTTACAAATAAATAAGCATAGTAAAGCTATTAAAACTAATTTGAGAAAACGGTTGTCTAATTAAATTATCATTCCTTTAAGTATATTTATTTCGATCTCTTTGCAAATACAAGTTATGAAAAGAAACTGGAGATAAGTGGACCTTACATTTAGACATAAAACAAAGTGTAAATACATTTAACTCGTATATATTAGGAGCATTCATTTCATATAAAAGAGGCATGGCGTGAGCAAATCGGTCCTTGAAATTAATAAGGCGTACTACATGCTTCTGTTGCCGATAAAGATGTTTAGGTTTCGTTTTATTAGTACTACCCCACGCAATATTTGCATAGTTAATATGGCAATCAATTAATAATAATAATGATATTGCGACAATTTATTTCATCAATTGTTGAGCACAATAACAGAAGATGTTGTGCTGTAACAGCTGTAAATGTTTTTATAATAGCATTGTTTACTTTTTGATGTATATAATCTTTATTTATTGTTATTTAATATATAATTTTTGCAATAGTTTGATATATCAAGTTTATTTTTGAACTGATCAATTGTTATTGATTCCATAATATATGGCGGTAAACCATTCCAAGCTGCGACAACTCTACATGAAAAGAAATTAAACCTAGCATTACTCTTACAGTTCGCCTTTGTTAACTTTTGTTTATAACCATGATTTTGTAATGTAATTGAGAAAATTACGAAAATTGCAAGTTTCAGACTTAATGTGGCCCCCCTAAATCTCATTCAATTTTGAAAAAAATTTACTGAGTGTCTTGTGAGCACCAATAGAAAGTTTTAAGAATAGGGACAGATCAATTTTTGAAAGTATGGGGCGTTTGATACACCCTAATATATATATATATATATATATATATATATATATATATATATATATATATATATATATATATATATATATATATATATATATATATATATATATATATATATATATATATATATATATATATATATATATATATATATATATATATATATATATATATACATATACATATATATATTTAAAATAAATAAAAGATATGCCAAATAATCAAAATAGTACTAGAAAGAAGAGCAAAAAATGAAATGGGTTTAAACCACCTGATATTCTCAAATCAAAACCTGCTGATCATGAGACTTCATGTGTTCAAGAAAGTTAGATGTATCGTTCAGCTCGGATAAATGTGAATTTGACGACTATTTTATACTTTTTAACTTTTTATTGTTAAAGAACTTAATTGCACTCACTATTTGCCACAATTGCTTTTTTGGAAGTTTGTTAATCAAAGGTTGATTAACAAATTTCCAATAAAGCGTTGATTCTCGGATGGGCTTTTGTCATTTACTTGAGATAAAGTGTACAAAGTGTAACTTTTCTAAAAATTTTAGAACTTCACCAAAATCAAAGAACTTTTTCAACACAAATGTTTCCTATTGATACTGTTAAAAAAGAACTTTCATCTCTAGAATCACCAAATGAGATCAACCTGCGAGCTGTCATCGGATTGCGAGAAATAGGTGCTGGTCATGAGTCGATGAAAACTTTTTCCTTCTGTATGAATCTTTATTGTTTTTCGCCTAATGGCTTTAATAAGTTAAATAGAACTGCCATGTTAGTATACAAAATTGCTGCTGAGGAAAGTATGCAAAAAGCTGTTTTTGAAACCAAATCAATAAACAACTCTCTTGAAATGAAAAAAGTTTGTCATGAACCATCAATAAAAGAATTTTTATTGATGATTCATGACAAAAGCGAGATCATAATTTGTTGAATGGTGTTATAACTACTATTTGTAGTGATAAATGTATTGATGCAGATATATTTACCAATCATTGCAATGGATGTAAAATGTGGAGATCTAAAAGAGGAACTCCAGAGTATCAGCGTTGGTTGGTTGATCACCAGTGTGAATCAAATCACGAGGGTTCATCGGGTAGTATTGAATTTGTAGGAGCTGTGTCTATGCTTAAGAGATCTTTAGGAAAAAATAAGTTAATATATATAGAATATCTATGAGATGGGGATACATCTTCTTTTAATGATGTAATAGTAGTAAATCCTTACAAAGAGTATGGTATTATGCCTGTAAAACTGGAATGTGTTGGATTTGTTCAAAAACGGTTAGGAACACGTCTACGAAACCTTGTCAAAGCTCAAAAAGGTACTAAAAGCCAATATCATGCAGAGGTAAACTCACTGATTAATCTGCATTAATTCAATGCAAAATTTCTATGGTCTTGCAATCAGATCTAATGTGGGAAACTTGTATTTAATGAAGAAAGCAGTTAATGCCATACTTTTCCACTTCACCGATTTTCCTGATTCCTACACACGTCACCAGTTTTGTCCTCGTGGAAAATATAGTTGGTGCAAATACTGGGCTCTAAATCAAAAGAATTATAAACCCAAATCTATCATACCTCTGTGGATAAAAGATTTAATTCTACCAATAATTTTAAGTTCAAATGAATTGTTATCAAAATGTTTACATGGAAACACACAAAATGCTAACGAGGCACTTAATGGACTTATTTGGGCTCCTGTACCAAAAAGAGTGTTTGTTTTTAAATCAACACTGGAAATGGGAACGTAATGAGCTATTTTAGCATACAATGATGGTGCAAAAGGTGTTATTAGTGTTTTTAGACATTTTGGTTTACATGGTAAGGTATCAAATATTTCAGCGACTTCTAAAAATTAAAATAGGATTAGTCAAATAAGGTGCAAGTCATTAGAGAAAGGAAAAAAAAGAAGAAAAACTCTTAGAGACATGAAAAAAGGTCACCTAGATGAGGAGAAAGCAAAACAATGTAATGACAGTTATGTTTTAGGAGGATTTTAAATTATTATTGTAAATAATATATAAAGTATTTTTCAAAGCTGTTTATCTCAGTTCGCGTTTTTTCGTTTTTGCTTAAATTTTAAAACACAGTTTCTTGAATTAGCATTGCTCATTTGATCTGAAATTTTCAGTACTTGCTCAAAATACCTATAAAACTCATTTAACAGATGGATTTTTTTTTATGATCCGTAATATTTTTTTTTTTTTGAATCAGTTCTCTCTAAAATGTCAAAAAATAAATAAAATATGAGGAAAATCTACATAACTCATCATTTAATTTGATATTTAAAAAATCTATATGTTAAATAGAATAAAATAGTGTTTAGAGTAAGTGTACAAAATTTTAGGTCATATTATGATAGCTAGCCTTAGATATTATGCTTTGAAACTTAGTCCAAAAACACATTTTTTGATAGTTTTTTCGCCATTATGGTCCTAATGCTAATTAAAATTTTTTTTTTTTTTGCTTTTTTTATTTAAATTTTTGTTGTTTTTCGAGTTATTTTCTCCTTTTGTTTAACTATAGCTAGTTTTAGATCATTTTGAACATCATTCTTTCAAAAATATTCCTTGGTTGCTATGCAGTCTTCCTGCTATAGTCACAGTCCTGTTGGAACAAAAAATTATTTCCGAATCTATATTTACAAGCAGAGAGTTTTAAATTTCGCTTCAAAATATCTATATACGAATTGGCTTTCATAGCCGATTCAATTAAAATCGATAAGCCAGCTCCTGACCAAGCCAATGATCCCCACACCATGACATTACCACTACCTTGTTTTACTGTTCCTCTCATGCAACTTAATTTGTATGCCTCGCCTAGTTTCTGCCAGAATTTTTGTTTCCCATACAATAAGATCAAGTTAAATTTGGATTCATCACTCAAAATTATTTTCTTCCAGTACTCGAAACTTTTTTGCAAATGAAAATCTTTGTTTCATATGTCTTGGAATCAAATAGTGTTTTTGCAACATAATTTACCGTAAAAATCTTGCTCTCGGATTCTATTTCGGATTGTTTGAGCTGAAATCATGATTTTGTAGCTGCTTTGAACTTTTTCGGCAACCTTTTGAGCAGCTTCAAGTCTGTTTTGTTTGACTTTAAATATTGTTTCGATAAATGGAAGCAGATGTTTTTCTATTACAACTACCTCCTGCACTACAATTGATGTAGTTCCATTCAAATTATGCTTTTTTATGTTGCTGACTGTTCTAAAATGGATTCCAGTCTGCTTATTAACATCTCTCTACGTCTGACCACTGGTTATTAAATCCACATATTTCATTAAAAAATTGTCGTATGTTGTTGTACAAGGCGCATATAGCTATAAATTACTCAATTTTATTCGAGCACAGTATTTTTATACTATTAGTATTAAAAATATATACCTAATTTTGTATGTTTTATGAAAACGTTTTGAATATCCGGAAAAACTATAAGTTAAGAAAAATATCCGGAAAAAAAAATCCCTAGTACTAACTTAGTGCAGTATTTTTAAACACTAGTGTACACAAGTATATATTAATTTGTTCAAAATTTACTGTCTAAAAAAAACCCTTTTTCAAAATACTACTTTGAAAATATCACTTTAATTTACAAATTTATATATAAAGAACCTCCTTATTTCGCCAACTATTTAAAATCTATTTGCTTTAAGGAAATTAAGATGGCCGAGCTGACAAACACTTCTAGATTTGCATTTTTAACCATGTTAATAAAATAATAGTTGTTTCTCAACATAAGTAATTTTATAAAAAGCAAATTTAAAGACTTATATTTCTTCATAGAGAAATTAGCTAAGATAGACCCCAAATCAGTCTTGCGCTGGTTGCTTCTGTCATACTTACACGAAATATTTGAATATTACAGAAACACTCGTATATTAAAGTACATAGATTTGAAAATGTTTAAAAGATGAAAATCATTTTATAGATAATTTTTGAAATATTCTTGTGAAGTTGGATACGTAAATATATATACGCAATTGATTAAAGCCAATAAATATTGGTTTAATAAAACAATGGCCAATAAATAAAACTTATTTTTAAAAAATGTTGCCAATTTTGGAAACAAGCAAATACCGATCACCCTCTTTCCCAAAAGAACGATGCTTTAAATGGTACTTTTGGCAAAGCCTATGTACAAGCGCACGGTCTTCTTTAGTTAAATCAGACGAAAATCTTATTTCGTTTTTGCTTGAATCGTGTAAAAACGATAGCAAAGATTCCTCTACGCTCGATGAGCGCACTGAGCGATCTGTGAATTCATGTCCAATTCCTTTCCGTCCTTCAGCACCTTCAACAAAAACAGGATCAGATATACCGCAACCATCTTTTCCCAAACCACCGGCCCCACTCCATCCCATCTTACGAAGTAGTTGATTGCCTAAATTTGTTTCTTGCAACTTTGGTGATTGGTAATACGCTGATTTTATAAGATTACTTTTTGAAATCGTAGATACACTTTCATGATACTTTATTAGATCTTTTTTATAAATAATCCCTTGGGAGTATTTGAGCAGCTCGAAAGCTGAGGCTGCCGTATTTTGTTTGCAAACCTTTTGATTTGGACCTGATCCATGCGCTATATAAATATTATCAATAAAAACGTCCATATGAATCTCATTATTAATAAAACCTTTATCTATGTAATAGATTTGACGTTTACATTTCTGGACGCTTTCCTGTAAAATACTTATGGGGTTCGAATTATCGTCTTTTTCGTTGATGTATAAAATTAAACCACTCACTAATTCATCGCTATTATCCGGTTTTTGGATTAAATCTTTGAAATTTTCACGCACGATAACATCACCATCGATGGCTAAACATAAAAAAATTAATTTATTTATATTCTCAATATTTATGAAATTATTTAAAAAAAAAGTACAAATTTTTTTATGGTTAATTTTAGATTTTTAACCCCAATTTCTTTTTTAATATTGATTTTATATCAAAAAACGTTTTATAACAAGAAATTAATATTCTTATACTTAAAACAAAAATTATTCACTAAATTAGAAAAAATGTCAAAAGTCAAAAATTGTTTCACCCCCTAATCATTTTAACTTTTATGTTGTATAACTTAATAAAAACTAATTTTTTAGCAAAATTTGTTTTTTTTTAGATTTCCTAATAATAAAATCACGGCGAAAAGATATGAAATTGATGAATCAGTAAAAAAATTGATCTATAAAAGTGGAGAAGGATTTAAAACTATTTCTAAAATAGAAAATGTTAAGCCTAATAGTGAAAGAAATATCATTAGAAAATATTAAAAAATGGGTACCATAAAAAATTTGCAACGAAAAGAACGCCCAGCTAAGACTACCTTACACATTGATAGAGAAATTATTCAAAAAATTGAACAAGATCAAGAATTATCTGCACCAAAGCTAGCAAAAAATTTATAAACAGATCATTTATAACTGTAAACCCTCAAATTGTTCGTAATCGGTTGAAAAATCAAGTTTTTGTAGGTAGAGTTGTACTAAAAAAGCTTTTTTTTGAGTAAAAAGAATCAAAAGAAAAGATTAGCTTGGGCTAAGAAACTTTCGAATTTGACTATTGATCAAATGGCGAAGAGTTTAATGGCCCGACGAAAAAAAAAAATGTTTGTTTGGTTCTGATGGTATCATACAAATGGAGAAAAAATGGTGAACACCTAAGCCCTAAATGTATGAAACGAAGTGTCAAGCATGGAGGAGGCAACATTAAGCTTTATTATAACATTTTAATATTATATATACTTCTGACTTTTTTTTCTCTTTTATTATAGGTTGAGTGATAATTTGGGGCTTCTTTGCTTGGGGTGGTGTTGGCGAACTTGAATTCATTGACGGAAAAGTCAAAGTAATGACAAAAGAGGTTTATACTAATATTATGAAACAAAAACTGAGATCAAGCGCCAGAAGTGCTGGCTGAACTCTTAATTTTATCTTTCAACAGGATGGAGATCCTAAACACACATCAAAGTTACCTACTCAGTGGTTAAAAAAAAAAAAAGTATTAAGATGTTAGATTGGGTTACTCTATTACCAGACCTAAATCCGATTGAAAATTTATGAAATCTTTTTAAAATTAAAGTAGGTAATCAAAAACCATCTAGTTTGTCGCAATTAAAGGCAATTCTTATTGAGGAGTGGGAAAAATTTGACCCACATTGGCCTAAAAACTTAGTAGATTAAATGCCTAAAAGATGTCTTGCAGTCATTAAGGTAAAAGGCACACAAATAGACTATTAATTTTATATTAGCAAAATAATTATATAAGGGGTGATAACTTTTTTGACTTTTTCTAACTTAGTTGATAATTTTTGTTTTAAGTATAAAAAAATAAATTTCTTGTAATAAAAATGTTTTTTGATATAAATTCAACATTAAAAAAAATTGGGTCCAAAATCTAATTATAAGCATATCAAAATTTGTCTTTATGGAAAAATCATCAGGGGTGACTTTTTTGACATGTATATAAGTCAATTTACTTTTAACGTCTTAGCTTAAAAGTTTTTTAAAAAAACACGGGATCTAATTGAAGCTTAAATCTAGGGGTGTTTTGTGTCTTTTAGATCAATTCGCTTCTGGCTGGAATTAAAATTTTTCTTTTTTACTTTTTTTTTATGATATGTGTAATTTTTGCAAATGTATTTTCAGGATTACTATTTCTGCAAATAAAACTGTATTTTTAACCAAGGTTTACCTATAGTTTTTAACTGCTCTGTAGGATAATGATTTTTTGATTGATTTACACAGCTGCATCACACGCCTTAAAAAAAAAAAAAGTAAAAAAAAATTTTAATTTCAGCCAGTAGCGAATTTATCTAAAAAACACCAATTCCGACCGGAATTCTGGTACATCCTACTTAAATCTGTTTGTTTAGCTTATTTTTGTTCACATTTTTCCTGAGTGACGCCATTTTTACCAATGATTTGCTAATAATTTAACTATTGATTTTATTAACTATGTAGTTTTATTTTTAATTGAAGAGATAAAGTATAAAAAGTAAAATATAATTTAGCAATATGATTATAAAGTTTGCAATTATATTCTTTATTGTTATAAATGTTGTTTCAGTTAAAAATATTTTTCTAAAAAAAACTAATAAATTACATTTTTGGTGCTGGTAAAATTTTTTTAGAAAAACAAGTATTAACTTTTTTTTATAGGTTTGTTTAGATATCATGGTGCATAGTTTGTCATTAATAAATTTTAATGTTTTTTAATATTTTATATTATTTTCACTCAGTTTTCATTAAACTTAAAACATTTTAAAACTAAAAAGTTTTATTTAAGCTAAAATAACTGAAAAGTAGAAGCAAAAACAAACAAACAAACAAAACAAAAAAAAAAAAAACACAAATATTTGTAGCGCCCAGAAAAAATGCAAACCATAAATTTAAGCAAGATCAAAAAATTTATTTTCTTACTTTTTACCTTGTGAAGGTGGACCAGTACGTGTACCAAGGTTCTCATTTGATGCTTTAACAAACTTAACTTTAGGTGTTGCTAATTCAATTAACATATCAATTTCTTCTTCAATTTCACGCGGTACTCTCGTATTACAATCTGTCAAAATTTCTAAAATATAAATAAAAACAAAAAAATTATATAAACGATTGATAAACAAATCATTATTAGTAATGGTAACATCTATATTCCAAAACTATAATTTTATATTATATCAAATCAATGTCTTAACTCCTATTAAATAGTTTTCTATCAAATCGCATGTAACAAATCACAGAGGTAATCAAGATGGATATCAACATACAAAAATAGTTATAACAATTATAATTAAACTACTAATACATACATACATATATATATATATATATATATATATATATATATATATATATATATATATATATATATATATATATATATATATATATATATATATATATATATATATATATATATATATATATATATATATATGTATATATATGTATTATACAAAACTTGCGTGACTAAAATTATGTAAGAATCAAAAAAAATTTTTTTCAGTTACCAGAAGTTTAACATGGGAATATATATATACTAAAAAATTCATGATCACCCATGGCGCCCATTTTTAGCAACCTTTTACACTTGTAAATGATAATTATTTTGACAAGTGAAGTGAAGCCGTTGAAGGCAAAATAAATAAAAAAAATATATATTATGCATACCTAATGAGTGTTTATAAGTGAAAAAGAATTAAAATAAAAAATTTAAATGATTTAAAACAAATGTTAAAAAAAATTCTAAGTTAAAAAATTACATTAAATTTTTTAACTTAGAATCCTTAACAAGGTCATCAGTTGACCTTGTTGAGGATTTGCTTTGATAAAAACCTTGACTTGATTAGAAACTCTGAATCTTGATAGAGCAATACATGTCCATGTGCAAATACGTCCGTTTACAAATGAATTCCAACATGATCAAATGACTGACTATCCAACTTATTAATTGTGATTGCATAAGCTCGTATGATTGGAAATTGTCTACGGCATAAGACAAATGGAAGTGTTGTTTCTGATAGCGCTTCTGATATAATTTCCTTGAATTAAAGTCAAATCAAGGAATTAATAGGTTATCTCCTTTATTGCACTCAGAAACAATTTTTGCTTTGATTATGTTCCTATCTAACTGTTCAACAATCAATTGAGTGCCATTACATATTCCTTTTTTCGAATTAAGATTTCTTAAGAGCATAATAATAACACCTTTCTTTAAAATCAAGATATGTGGCGGCGTTCCAGAAGGTGTTTGATCGTTCAGAAATCGGGTGGGAAAATTGAGTGCGTCATTCTGATCTTCGCTAGCTATTGAACCTGCACTTCAACAGTTATCAAACTGATTACCCTTCTGTTTCAAGAGTTTGTGCATTTATGGGTGCAACAATCACTCTTTTTGAAAGATCCTTGACACTTATTTGTTCAATATTGCCACAAATGCTGTTGATCAGATCATCTGTTGTTATCATTTGGTTAGGTATTTGAGTAGTGTCATGTTCATGAATTCCTGGCACTTTAGGCAGACTTTCTTATCCGACATCCAATAACCACTGATTTGATTATTTTGACCTTCAATTCGCATGTTAATGCTAAGAGTCAATTGAGAGAAATAATTCCACAATTGGCTAGATTTGATGCAACATTCTATTATGTCAGTTTGATTACTCGACACAACTGATAATGTTTGACGAAAGTCGCCACTAACAACTAATACTTTTCTACCAAGAGGAATTTCACATCCAATAATTTCATGAAAAAATTTATCAATGCATTGAAGTCCATATGTTGGCAACATACTTATTTCATCTATTAAAATCAATGTACATTAAAAAAATTTTCTTTATCAAGTGAATCCATACGCATATATAGATACAGATGTATCAGGCAATGGGAGAAGTAATTTAAATCCACTGTGAACTGTTCTTCCTCCCTTTATTAATGTGACAGCAATTCCAGTGGTTGCAAAAGGTAGAACAATTTTTTCCAATCCACCTGGACCATCAAGATAAAAAAGTTTTGAAACTCTGTTATTAATTTCAGTTACAAGCATGATACTTGTAAATGCCATCATTTGTGCTGGATTGAGCGAGTCAAATTATTTTGTTCCTTGTCTAAACTCTTCATCTTGATCGTAGCTCTCTTGCTCAGGTGCATTTACTTGAGGCACAGGCAAACCAACTGATGAACACAACATTCCATGTTGACCGAAAATAAAATTGATGTCATGAAGAGATTTGTTAATTGCTGTCACTTCATCATGTGAGCGCATATAGTTGAGTGATAAATTTTGTAAATGATCTTGCTAAAGTTTAAGAGACTGCCTAGGCTGAAAAAATATGCAAATGTAGGTGAACATTTCTCTCAGTTGTTTAAGCATTAGATAATTCCCAACATCAGTAAGACAAGAGTTTTATTCATCATCAGATTCGATAAGACCTTGAGCAATTGCTACTACTTTGAATGCTTCCCATATTACACCATCCACTATTTGTAAAGATTCAAAACTTACTGATCCAGGCACATAAACTTAAAGAATACGTAAATAAAAGTGCTTTTTGTCTTTAAAACTAACTGCATACATGCAAGTGACAATTTTCGAGTGACCTCTTGCCTCTTTTGCCATTTATTGCGTGCATAAATACAATCACACGGAATATCTGTATAGATATATTCTCATTTATCATAATCATTGATATTCAAATCAAAAAATCTCTCCAGTTTGGTTTTATTTGTTTGAGCGGCCTGAAATGCCTCTTTCTTGAGACTTTCCTCAAAAATAATTTGTTGCTGATTTGGAAGATGAACTGGGAGCCTCAAAACTGCACGAGAATGATCATGCATTTTTGATTCTCTCAAACGCCAAATTGCTCCAAGAGCACTCACATATCGGCAATCAATGAAGTTTGATATTTCCTTTAAACAAAATTTGGGATGGTCATTAGATGCTTTACTCACATTTGCACAATCAAAATTCTTTAAAGATTTACTTATAAATGTATTTAATAAATCTTAGAGATGTGGCGACTTTGACATGGACATTATATTTCAGTGTTATGTATTGTGGATTATAAGGTACATGGATTATAAGGTACAATACTTGGACTGTCAATGGGTACACCTCTTACTGTAGCATATTTACCTGGTCAGCCTCTGTATGATGGATAGCCATTGACATTTTAAAGTGTGTGATAAGTCAAGCTTGATTTTAAAAACACTTGCTACTAAATCTGGATGTTCTGATTAATGCTTGCCAGGTTTAAAGTTTTCAGCAATTTTGCGCCAGGCAGGATTTGCAGTGAATGTTATGAATAAATCAGGTGCACCATGTTTTGGAAAAATTGACATTGGATCACAACATCTTCCTCTCATGCTTTGTGGAGATCCTTTAAAACTGGATGGAAGAATGACTGATACTTCTGCAGCAACATTAGCGTCTTGTGCTAAGTTCTCCATATGATCAGCAAGACCTTGGTAGCATTCTGCTTGTAATTGTTTTTGATTTTGGTGAATGAAGTTCAGAATATTTGCTTTGACCTGCAAGTACGAGTCTAACAACCATTGTTGCATCAATATGCCTGCACTAATAATTGAATTAAAACTGCTTCTATTTGCTGTAAGAGAATATTTTTATTAAAGCATGCTAACATTGTTTCTAACTCTGTTTGTAACAGCTCCCATGTATGTTTAACAATTGGAATTAAGCTGCCATCTGGCTTCACCGTAGGGAAAAATAAGTCCGTAAGTCATAGGATCCATATTTGGGCTCAAAGCGCTAAGATTAATAAATTTATTACTTGGATCTTCTAGTTTTTTTGGATATATGTGTATATCACAAAGAAATGGTGGCTCACAATCCTCATTCACAAAAATCATTACTACTTAATTGCTTCTTAAAGCATTATATTGCCATTGATCAGACCGACGATATCTTTTAGTGCCATGCTCACATAGTTTTTCCTGCTCCAGCAGCGCGAATACTTTCTTGACCTTCAACATCTTTCATTATTTGGTAACTTTGAGCCAGTCTATTGTGCACACGAAAGAAACGATCAAGCTGGTCAAGGTCATATCAATTCAACAACTTTTATTAGGTGCATGTTGTTGATGAATTTCTGTTACTTTTATGCTATCCAGTACCTAGAGTTGTGCAAATTGTGGTACCTGATTGTCAATTGGCTCTATGTGAGAGGTGCGATGACAAGTTTGGTCGTGAATTTTAAAAACAAAAGGGACGCAACCTGGCAAATCAACGATTTTTGTACTTATTGAAGCGAAAGAAACAGTGCTATTTATTGATCGTATTTATTGATCGATTATAGATTCTTCAAAAAGTCGGGATACTTTAATTCATTGCCATAAATGTCTTTCGAAATGGGCAGTTTGAATTTTTATTTTCAACAGCACTCCATGAATTTTTTATTGCTTGGTAGCTCTGCAGCAGAATGTTTTGCTTCACAAAATTGGCATAAATGATTAAATGAGAGACAGTAATGTTCTATAACAATAGTTACATTGAAATTAATGGCTTTGTCACGAATTGCTTGACTTTGTCTATTTCTAGTCAATTGCTGTGATGCAGTATTAGCTGTACGATAAACTTGAAATTCCTGAAGTGTCAAATTAGCAACACATTGTTGCTGTGATGGGGCATCTACATTATGGAAAATGTATGTGCATTACCGAAAGTGAATAATTGTTGGGATGTCATATCAAGCAAGCTTTGCTGATAAGCATCTGCATTGTGATTCTTGAGTTTGCCTCTTATGTCACCTTTTCTGCCTTTTAAGCGACGCTTTTGTGATAAAGGATCTTCATCCATATTAAACAGTTCTAATTTAAATCTGCATTTAATATTTTATATTTAATAGAGGAAATTTTTTGCTACTCACGCACTGAGAAACTGAATGCCAAATATTGATTGGGCTATTTACATTGATTTTAAGCAAAAAAATAATTATTTACTTTCTTAGTGAAATTAAATTTTGGATTTTTTGTTTTAATTATAAATTGATATTAAATTGAATAAAATTAATTGAATAAAATTAATTAAATAAAATTAATTGAATGAAATAGAAT